ACTTAGCGCAATCCCAACACCAGCAACACCGCGAGTTCCGGATGTCGAATCGCCTGACACGGAGGGCGCGGCGTGATGTTGGGGTTGCATCTTCAGAGCGCAGGGATATGATGGAAGTAGGGTCATGTATGGGTGTTTCGGAGATACAACACATCTAAATTGAAAGTTTCCAGGGTTCCAGTAAAGACAGCTTGTTGACCGATCTGGTGGAGTATGCGGACACTGAACGCGGTTAAGTGGAATGAGAATTTTGGCTTTAAAAATCCTATAACTCCTGGTTCTTTGGTCTTGTTGGTAAAACGCTTAGTGATATACGATGGGTCTCGTAAACAGGAGACAGCTTGGATTATTTAGTGTTAAGAGGAAGAACTACACAGATGAGAAAGAGATTTCTCCAAATGGGTGGATGAGACTTTAGGGCACGAAACACGTCGCGGCAGCCCACATCGACGAACGAGTTTTTTCTTTGGGAACCCTAAACGGGGCTTCGACTCAAAGGTCTGACCCACAAGGCAGTGGGGCATAAATCCGACGCGGGAGTGTGAACGGAGCACCCGAGTGGGAGCTCCTAGAGACCTGTCACGCAAGGCCTTCGGTTTTCGGTCCAGTATGTTGTTCACTGGTACGTTGGTTGACATTTCACTTTTCGGGATCGGCCCTTAGCCTCATGCACCCAATTAGACAAGCGGAACGTGGACAAGACAGCACCTTATTGGCTGGAGGCTACCAGCTTAGACGGGCGGTAGCTTTTCAATGAAATGAGAATACTTCTCTCACCGTCGAGAGGATGCCCCAGATACTCCGCTCCTATGTCCATCTAACGGGGTTTTCTTTTGACCGGTAAACTGCCCCTCACCGTGTTTATTTGCTGGAGTGACTCCTCCAGTGGCGGGTGTGGATAGAAGGAAGCCAGGTGCCCAAGAAGCTGGCTTTGTGAGACTGATTCTCGCCTGGCCTCTATCTCTTGACCTTTCAGGCATGATTGGATCTACGACTGTGAAAAGCCATCCTGTGTGGCTCGTACGGTTATGGAGGCACGCAAGCCATCACACCACGTCAAGGTGCAGTCTTGTCGTGATGTAATTCATATATGAGTAGATGATTTGGGTAATTCAGACTGTCTTGGCATATAATATTGTGTTACCTCGTCGCGTACCCAACCTTAAATCCTTAAATCAACCCATCAGATAACAGAAGAAACTCACCCGGG